TCCCATTGTTTTCAACCGAAACATATGTGATCCTTTACTTTTGCAGTTTTGCATATATCTTTCATCGGTCTAATGAATATACATCAAATTTAAGTGAGAGTAAATACAAGTACATATATATTAGGACATACAGCTAAAGAGAATTTATAAGTTGTGGATCGGAGAAATAAGCAATACCTTTGCCCGTAAAGCCAGTTGATCCGATTATGAAGTAATTTTTGTGCTTAAGAAAATTGACAATTCCAATGCCTTGGTTAGCATTTGATTGGTTCGCCATTGTAATAAAGAAGAAATATTAAGAGAGACAAATAATTATATTGATTGAGCTTCAACAGCAAAGTTTATTGAGTTGGTGTTGTAAGCTTGAGAAAGTATTAACAATATCTACTCAACCCTTCAAAAGAAACGTAAGCCCATCCTCTTTATTATTATAATTATTTTATTTTTGTAAGCGTACAATTAATTTATTCCCTTTTATTTTTCTGCACATGTGAAGCAATTAGACAGCTGGGGTTATATTGATTAGTTTTAATCAAACTCATAACTAAACGTCCCTTTCCTTTTTTTTTTCTTTTTTTTTTTTTAACACTTGCAAATAATAATATTAATAGAGGTCAATTTCCGTCAAAGTTAAGAGGCTTTGAGGGAAAAGACCTAAGCAAACAAGTTCATTACAACCTTTAGAGTCCCACCTAACCACATGGTGAGTTAGAGTATTACCCGCACGCTTAACATGAGATATCGAAAAAGCTACAAAACATTTAAAGGACACAAATATCATTTACAAGCAATGAAAATGGAGTAAAATTGGCAGGCTTCTTCTTCACCCCATCCACGACATGGGCGGCATCACTATCCAAAATGACCGAGGAATAGCCCAATCTAGCAGCCACTTGGAGCCCATAAAGGCAAGCCGCAGCTTCAGCAGCGTCAGGGGCCCAACCAGCCCTCTCTTTACGAACAACAGCCACCAGGATTTTGCCCACTTCGTCTCTAATCACCACCCCTAAGCCTGTCGCACTCCCAACGTGAGCATCACAATTTATTTTCACCATCCCTGTGCAGGGCCGAGTCTAAGAGCTAGCTGATGGCTGTCTCAGCGCACCCTACCTCAAGAACACCTTTTTCGCATACTCACCATACTCAGAGACAGTTTTTAAGAGATTTAACGCAACACTAACCGGGCAGACACTTGCATTTTCAAAAATAATCATGTTGTGGCACCACCAAGCAGCCCAAGCAAGTGTAACCATAGCTCTCAACTCCTCACTACTGACCTTCGAAGCCAACCACAACAGCCTCTCACTAAAGCACAAAGAAGGGGCTTGAGAAATCAAAAGGAAAAAGTTGCTAGCCGCCTAAATGCTCCTAACTGCATTACACTCAAAGATAGCATGGATCACCGATTCATCCCCATTCCCACAAATCGAACAAGTTTTATTTTCAACCAAATGACGAAAATGTAGCCTTTCCCGAACCGCAAGGAAGCCTTTACATGTCCCCCAAAGAAAATGTGCCAGTTTTGGAGGTCCCTTGATGCCCCATACTAACCTCCAAACATCATCATGAGGTTGGGTTTGCAGTTTTGCACCCTTGCAGGCCCTTGCTTACCCAACCAGTACCCCGAACGCGCTGAATACTCTCCTCCTTTAGACGGCCACCAATACATCACATCTTTCATAGCGGATAGAATAAAGGAACTGATAAAATTAACGCTTGGTCTACAGCGTTGAAATTATCTTGAATCACATCCTCATACCACAACATAACCTCATGGTCTATTAAATCACTAACCCGCAGCCCAATGTTGCTATGGTTCAACAGAGTCGGCACACACACGGAAGAACACCCTGGCAGCCACACAGAGTCCCAAACCGATATATTACATCCATTCCCGACCCTCCATTTCAACCCATCAAGTAGCAAAGACTTTGCTCCCCACATACTCCTCCAAGTATAACTAGGATCAAAACCCCGACAAGCCTCTAACACATCATAATTTTTAAAGTATTTTGCTTTCAAAGTAGAATGTAGGAGAGTACCTTGATTATGGTGGACACGCCAACATTGTTTTGCCAATAAATCTTGGTTGAAACATCAAAGATCACGAAAACCCATATCACCAAAGATTTTTTGGTTTACACAAATCCTCACATTTTTGCCAATGAAGCTTTTTCCTCGATACCGTAGAACCCCACCAAAAGCGAGCTAAAAGAGAATGAAGTTCATCAATGATTCCATCCGGGATCCTCAAAATGCTCATCATATACGTCGGGATTGCCTGGGCTACTGCTTTTATCAAGACTTCTTTACCGGGCATTGACAATAATTCCTCCTTCCAACCCTGCAATTTTTTCCAAGACGTTCCTTAAGGCCTGCAAAAATAGCTCTCTTCGATCTGCCAATTATCTTCAGCAACTAAGATATTTCTCATGTTTATCCACTTCTCGAACCTCCAATGTATCTACAATTGGGTAATTCTCTGTTTCTCATTGTGAGAAACAAGTTTTGTTTCTCATGGGGTATGTGTCAAGATATGGGGCTCCCACTCATAACACATACGTGGTCCCCATCAGTGAAAATATCACATTATTTTCCAAAATGTCATTATGAGAAACAAAACTTTTCTTTTCAAAATGCCATTATTTTCCAAAGTGTTTCTCATAATGAGGAAGTGGGGCTCCCTCTCCACAATTTCTTTCCCACGATTGATGTAAACTTTTTTACTAAAAGCAACTTCAATTTTGTTTGAATTAATGTTCTTGCCCGAATTAAAAGGAACTCATGTGATGCGAGCTTTGTGTTTTGTGATCACCAATATGATATACTCCTGCCGCTAAAGATCCACTAATTGTTTGATTCCTGTTGCAATTTGATGCAATTATCTTAGTGTAGCAATCGTCGGTCAATAGTCAATACCCAATATTTGTATTGTTCACTTCGTATTGCCTGACCTCTTTTAGTTCCTTAACATTATTGATGTTCAGTACTCAAATCAAAAGAGCTCTCGTGATTTGGATCTTTGTTGGCAGCCAAAATCTTCAAGAATCCCTCAGTAAGCACTTAGCAGTCCCAATTTTTTTTTATTTTTTTATTTATTTATTTTTTTTAATGTATGGTGTTATTTGGTTGCCTTTAGTTTTCATCGGCACTCAAAATTCCCATGAATTTCTTTTTGGGTATGTTGTTTGGTTGATATTAAAAAGCAAAAATAGGGTAAGTCACAATTCATGGGAATTTTCACTTCCCACAAAACATGGGAAGTTACTTACCTACCCCTCCATTGGTCATTCACAATTCCTAGGATTTATAAATTCTCACATGACAACCAAACATATTTATTCAATTCCTAAGAATTTTAATAAAGAAAGTAATTTCCCATGAATTAGAATTTCCCAAGTGTGGTTCTTTATGACGTTTATGTGATATTTGCACGTATATATCATACATGTACATTTTTTTTTCTTTGTTTTGTGTATGTGTATATGTATATATGTTTTTTTATTTATTTATTTTTTTTTTCTTTTTTTGGTAGTGTTGTGCACATGACGGATTCGCAAGGTAGCTTAAAGTTGTTGCCCATGTCGTGATGGGTCAGGACTTTGTTATGAACCCATCGGAAATGTCAAGTCATGTATGCCAGTCGCTATGAACTTGACATCTTAAGACTGGTCGGATGACTCGAAGATTTGAAGTCGCCCTTGTCGCAATGAATCAGGACTTTGTTATGAACTCATCGGAGACGTTAAGTCATGTATGTCAGTCATTATGAACTTGGTGTCTTTAAGACAGGTCTGATAACTTGAAGATATGAGTTGTCCATGTCGCGATGGGTCAGGACTTTGTTATGAACCCATTGGGAATGTCAAGTCATGACTAATCTACTCAAAATTCCAATACAAGAATCCATGACAAACTTGTTATATAGGTGCCATGTCAAACACACCCTAATGATTTTTTTTTTATTTGCTTGCTTGCTTCGCTTTGCTATTCACAGTTTATACTCTTGTGAGCAAGGAGATTTTTTTTTTTTTGCCTTGCCGTACACAGTTTATACTCTTGCGGGCCAGGAGTAATTTTTTTTTGTTTCGTTTTGTCGTACACAGTTTATACTCTTGCCGGCCAAGAGTAATATTTTTTTTTTTGTTTCACCGTACACAGTTTATACTCTTGCGGGCCAGGAGTATTACAATGATTATGATTTTTTTTTTTTTTGATGTGGCTGCACTTGCTTTTTTTTTCCAAGGTGCCTACGTACTTGAGAAATAAACAAGTTATCTTGCAAGATCAAGCCAACGTAGTTCAAACTATGCATTTTTTTCTAGCAGTTTATCCTCTTGCTTAGGAGTTTGCTAGGCTTTCACTTCATGAATAGTAACGCTTCAAAAACTTGCCATTAATTGGACTTATGCGCAACCCCTCAGCGTCAACAATTTTGTACGCTGAATTGGTGTAGACTTCTCGTACCACATAAGGACCATCCCATTTTGACGTGAACTTACTTCCAGTTTTGCGAGAAGTAATGATAAGTCTCCTTACCGCCAAGACCATGTCTCCCACTTGAAAAGAGCAAGGTCGAACCTTCTTGTTGAATGCGTGTGACATGCGAGCTTGATAGCATGCAATTTTTGTTGAGCTTATAATCTTTTCTCATCAAGCGCCTCAAGCTCAACCAATCGAAGCTTGTCATTTTCATCACTAGTCAAGCCTTCTTGAATTGCAATTCGCAGTGATGGAATTTGAAGTTCAAAGGGTAGGATAGCCTCAACACCATACACCAACGCGTACGGAGTAGATTGTGTTGCATTCTTGTATGTCGTCCTATATGCCCAAAGTGCTTCCCCTATCTTTTCATGCCAATCACGCTTAGACTTTGCAACGACCTTGCTTAGCAAATTACAAAATGTTTTGTTAAATGCTTCAGCTAGACCGTTTGCAGGAGCATTGTACATGGATGACTTATGTTGCATGAACTTAAACTTTTGGCAAAGGCTATTCATCTAGTTGTTGACGGATGGTTTTCCGTTGTCAGTGATGATTCGTTGAGGTACTCCATACCTATAAATGATATGGGTGCGAATGAAGTCGACGACATTTTCTTTTTTCACCTCACGAAGGGGAATAGCTTCAGCCCACTTAGAAAAGTAATCAGTGGCAGCTAGAATGTAAGCGTGACCACCAGATGACTTTGGTGTGATTGGACCAACAACGTCAAGACCCCATCCTTCGAATACAGTTGGATGTAGTGGTTCTGGGGGTTGGTGAATGAAGTTTTCATGAAATTGACATGCTTCACACTTTTTAGAGAACTTCATGCAATCTTGAACCATTGAGGGTCAGTAATATCCCATCCTTTTAATACGATCATGAAGCTTCGGACCAGATTGATGAGCTCCACAAATCCTTGAATGAAATTCCTCTATTGTTTTGGCTGCCTCTTGATCTTCTAGACATCTTGACCATAGCTTGTCAAAAGACCGTCTATAAAGAGTCCCTTTGAAAAGAATTAAACGAGAGGCTCGGCGGCAGATTTCTGTTCGATGTCGTGGATCATTAGGCAGTTTTTGGTGATCTAAATAATCAATGATTGGTTGACGCCAATCTTCTTTGTCAATTTGGCAGACAGTGATCATGTCAACTTCCTCGATCTCTTCATCTTTAATTTCATATTCTTCAGGAGCAACTACCAAACAATTACAAACAGGCATCCTCTGCCCCCAGTGCCAAAGTGGCTGCAAGACCGGCAAGCGCGTCAGCCATCTTGTTAGCACTCCTTGGAACATGGCTTAGCCTGACAGTGTCAAATTTATCAAGAAATCTTGATGCATGTTTTTGATAAGGAATTAAATCCTCTTCTTGACTTCATACTCGCCTAAAAGTTGGCTTATAACGAGTTGCGAATTGAATCTCCATGAACATCAAGATCTTGAATTCCCATTTCAACCGCCATTTGAAGACCCAAAATGAGAGCTTGGTATTCAGCCATGTTGTTTGAGCACAACTGAGTTAACACAAACGAGTAAGGCAAGACATGTCTCTTTGGTGATACAAAAACTACTCTTGCTCCCACACCATCATGACAAGCAGCTCCATCAAAATACATTTCCCATGGTGGAAGTATTTCAATGTTGAACACATCTTCTCCGGGCAAATCAACGGAAATCTCCCATTCAGGTGGTACTGGGTGATCGGCAAAGAAGTCAGCGATGATGGCTTGTCCTTTGGCAGAATTTTTTGGTACGAACACTATATCGTACTGTTTGATGAGTACAACTCATTTCGCCAGTCTTCTAGACAACACTGGTCTTGAAAGGATTTACTTGATTGGGTCGGTTTTGGAGACGACATGGACTGTATGAGCTTGCATGTAATGCCTCAATTTTCGGATGGAAAAAATTAATGCAAGACAAATTTTTTCAATTGGCGAATAGTTCAGCTCGACACCCACCAATGTTCGACTCAAGTAATAGAGAGTTGTCTCATTGCGATCTTCAATTTCTTAAGCACACATTGCCCCCAACGATTTTTCTTAGGCAGCAATGTAGAGGATTAGAGGTTTTCCTTTGACTGGTGCCCCCAAAACCGGTGGAGAGGACAAATACTTCTTTACATTGTCGAATGCCCTTTGACTTGACTCATCCCATTTGAATGGAGCATCCTTTTTCATGAAATGACTAAATGGGTGACATCTTCCTACAAGATTGGAGATGAACCTCCGAATATATACAAGGCGTCCCTGGAGACCACGAAGTTCTTTGAGGTTTCATGGCTCAGGCATTTCTTGGATTGCCTTAATCTTGGTTGGTCAATTTCAATTCCCCTATGTCTTACGATGAAACCTAAAAAATTTCCCGCGGTAACACCGAACGCAAATTTGAGAGGGTTCATTTTCAATTGACATTTGCGAAGTCTTTCAAAGATTTTATGAAGGTCACCTAGGTGATCCTCCCTCTTTTTAGACTTAACCACTAGATCGTCTACATAACACTCCATAATTTTGTGCATCATGTCTTCGAAGATCTTTTGCATTGCACGCTGATACATAGCTCCGGCATTTTTTAAACCGAATGGCATGACTTTGTAGCAAAATATCCCTTTTGGGGTGCGAAATGTTGTGGCTTCTTGATCTTCAGACGCCATGTGGATTTGATTGTATCCAGTTGTGCAATCCATGAATGACAATGCCTCATGTCCAGTGGTGGCATCGATCATGATTTCCGTGACTGGAAGTGGGAAGTCATCCTTAGGACATGCTTCATTTAAATCGCGGAACTCTTAGCAAATTTGCAGTTGTCCATTTTTCTTCCTTACAGGGACAATGTTTGCTATCCATGTAGGGTATTCGACTTCACGAATAAACCCAGCATCAATGAGTTTGTTCACGTCAGATTCAATTTCCGGGATCAACTCTAGCCTAAATCGCCTTTGTGATTGCTTCTTTGGGCTGACACCCTTTTTGATTGCCAATCAATGGACGACAACCTTCGGGTTGAGACCCGACACTTCTTTGTAACTCTATGCAAAAACATCTTTAATTTATACTCAAAGAGTAATTTGAAGTATTCTTGCTCTTCCGCTTGGGTGAGAAGAGCACTAATGTATACAGGGCGTAGGTCTTTTAGAGAACCAAGATTTAACTCTTTTAACTCATCTACTGTTTCTTACCCCCCGTATTCAAGTGTCTTGGGAGTTTCATCAGTCTCTATTTCCTCATCGAGGTTTGGCCCCTCTTCGGCCGTCACATGATTCGTGGAAACAATCTCCTTGTGTTCCTCTATAGCATGGTCTGACGACTCATTTTGGTTGGTGAAAACCACAGTGCGAACTTTTGCCCACTACTAGAAAATAGGCTATTACCGACGGATTGGTTCCGACGGACAGGAAATTCCGTTAGAAAAACCGAAATTACCGACGGAATTATATTCCTTCGGATATTTCCGACGAATTCAAAAAATCCGTCGGAATTCCGTAGGAAATTTTCGACAGAATATAATTCCGTCGGAATATTTATAATTTCCGGCGGAAAGCTAAATTTCCGACGGAAATTCCGTCGGAATATTTAATTAAAAAAATAAAAAATCCCCTTTCCGCCCCATTTTCTCTTTCCTCTTCTCTTTCTCTTTCCTCTTCTTTTTCTCTTTCCTCTTATCTATCACTTTCCTCCGCCTATTTCCTCTTTTTTTTTCCCGGATCCTCTTCTTTTTCTCTTTCCTCTTTTCTTTCCTCTTCTCTTTCTCTTTCCTCCTCTTTTCTTTCTTCTGCTTCTTTTCTGTTCCTCTTCTTTTCCCCCTTTCTCTGTTCGTCTTCTTCCTTTCCCCCTTTCTATTCTCTCGTCAAAACCGGCGCCATCCAACAACTACAACCACGACGCAATAACGGCTACATCAACACCGTTACGAGCCACCCAACAACAACAACCACTGTCAACAACAACAACCACTGTCAACAACAACAATCACAACCACTGTTGACCAACACCAACAAAAACGGCGCAACAACAATGGCGCAACAACAACAGCGCCACCCACCCTCAAGGTTTTTGTTTTGTAGATCTAGTTTTAATTTAGGTTAGATTGTAGATCTAGTTAATTTTTTATGTAATTGTAATGTTAATTATAAATTTGATTAGATAATTGTATATTTATATATTTCCTTTAATTTTTGTTGTTTAATTATCGTTTTTTTATTATTTTTTTATGAAATTCGGTTAAAATTTGTAGATCTACTGGTTTTGATATTTTTGTATGGTATTTTTCGATTTTATTGTGTTAATTTTCGTATTTTTGGGCTAATTTATGTTTTTTGGGGTTAATTTTCTATTTTTTGGAGTTAATTTTTGGTGTGGTGATGTCGGTGGTGGTGTGTGAAGGTGGGATAGGGGCTAGTGTGGGTGGTTTCGGTGGTGGTGGTTGGTGAATCTGGGTTAGGGTTCGGTGGTGGTGGCTAAGGGTGGTGGTGGGTGGGTGGGTAAGGGTTAAGGGGGAGGGTTAAGTACGGTGGTGGGTGGGTTAGGGTTAATAGGGAGGGTTAAGTACGGTGGTGGGTGGGTATAGGGGTAAGGGGTAGGTGTGGTGGTGGGTGGATTAGGGTTGTTGGGGCTGGTAGCGGTGGTGCTGGTTTTTTTTTTTTTTTTTGGCAGCAATTTCTGATAGAATTTCCGATCCGTCGGAATTTTCGGCGGATTTGTATTTCGTCGGAAATTTACGACGGACTTTTCGGTGCCGGAAAACCTCTTCTGACGAAAAAATTTCCGTCGAAAAAGGTCGTTTTTCCTACAAAAGGTTTTCTGACAACCGGTTCCAACGGAATTCAGGGTGATACCAATGGAATTTTTCCGTCAGAAATGGCCTGTTTTCTAGTAGTGGCCTTTAAAGGTTGTTACTCAGTGATATCTATGTCTTGCGTTCGCTTCATGCGGGAGGGAACAATGCTCTTTAGCTTGTCATTTTTCGTGACATTGTCTTCCCTTTTCTTTATACCACTAAAAGCTGACTGTCTTTTTTTTTTTTTTTTTTGCTAGAGGCATTTGTCATGCCTACGCGGTTAAAGACAGATACTTTCGCCTTTAAGGTTGAGAGCTTGAAGTTTCTTTCACCATATGGTCACATTCTCCAAGCCTATCGAACACTGATATATGAACCCTCGTAGTAGATCGTCGAAGTCGATCAAATACAGAAGTTTTAGGAGGGGGAACATCATTCTCACCTTCATCTTCCTTAAGTTCCTCGGCAGTAATGTACTATGAGGAAAAGGTGTCCACTTTACGCCACACACCAATTTTGATTGATTTGGGCCGGTGAAACCCTAGGCTTGCTTTGGATTCTTGATAATTAGAACCATAGTCAAGCGTTTTTTCTGAGTGTCATTGAGTCCGTTGGGTTTAATTTCAATGACCTTACCCATAGGTGTCCCGACTTTGCCAATAGCTTGTATGCATTTTGGCCGAACTTTGCTTTGTTAAGCTCTTTTGCCTTAGATGACTCTGTTGATAACTTAGAAATTTGGTTTTGAGTTCCTTTACCTAATGGCACAGTTGTTTTACTCTTCAAGCTTTGGAGAGTAGTGTCATTCATTGGCTTTGCTACCTTGGCATCAAGGTTAACCTCTCGACACTCCAAAGGTGACTCTCCCTCCTTGCGACGTGACTTTGGGATGTATCGCAAAATAGGAGTCGAGAACTTTGACTTTTCTTTTATGACGGGCTGAGAGTCACCCTTTTCGTCCACTTCTTCCTTTTGTTGTGGCTTCTCTTTAACTAGAGATGTCTTTTTGGCACTTGAAGATAGAACAACGCTCTCCTTAACTTCTCTTTTTCCTGTTGAGGAGACTT